CTACCTAGTTTATGTTTTCTTAAATCATTCCAAAATGTATCCTGAGACTGCACCTAGAGCACTGCATTACACACACACAGAGGTGAGGCAGGGGCTGCACATAGCCCATTCGCTCCCTCCCAGGGCCTGGCAACCCTGATGAAACGTTTCAGGGTGGCGTGCAGCAAGATGCAAAACATGCGGCCTGGATGAAGAAACATAGAGGTAGAGAAGGAAAACCACCACGTACAGTGGGGTTCCCAGGAAAGTCTTCCTGCGGAAACAGGATTTTCTAAAATGTAGGAGCCAGTCTAGTTTCCAGCTTTGCACATAAACATCTTGGAGTTTGCCAGCCCTTGTTTCAGCCATCAGCATTTCTGGTGGGGTCCAGCCTTTGTCATTATGGACAAGAACATCTTGGAGTGATTGTACATTGTGAAATTTGACCTCTGTGTTGTGACATTGATCAGATAGAGCTATTTCTCACCCACCACCTCCAGCCTTTCCAGTGGAGATTCCCTCTAGGTCTTGCCTCACACAGGGAGTCAGATCTGGGCGGCTGCTGAACCACTGAGATGTCTGCCCTAGAGCTGGCTGCACTCCAGCAGCCTAAGGGGCATAACCTTCCCTACCCCTGCCCAATGCACAAGGTCAAAGCAGCCACAGAAATGTAAGGGGCCGCACTGCTAGGGCTGGTGGACCAGTACAGGGGTGGGGGTCAGGAAGGGAGGGAGAGAGACCCATCTTTAAGATTCCTGTGCTTCCCACACATACATTCTGATTTTTTACTTTTTAAATGAATTGGTAGGACTTCTTTTTTAGCTTCTAGATATTGATCCTTATCAGTTACATTCATTGGAAATGCTTTCTCCCATTTGCTTGGCTTTTTCTTTTCTTTTCTTTTCTTTTTTTTTTTTTTTTTTTTTTTTTGAGACAGGGTCTCATTCTGTCACCCAGGCTGGCGTACAGTGGCTAATCACAGCTCACTGCAGCCTTGACCTCCCAGGCCCAATTGATCCTCCTGCCTCAGCCTCCCAAGTAGCTGGGACCACAAGCATGTGCCACCATGCCCAGCTAATTTTTTTTTATTTTTAGTAGAGACGGGTCTCACTTTGTTGCCCAGGCTGGTCTCAAATTCCTGGGTTCAAGTTATCCACCCGCCTCAGCTTCCCAAAGTCCTAAGATTACAAGTGTGAGCTGCCACGCGTGGTACAAACTTACATCCTAAAGCAATAGCCATTCCCCTTGTCTGAAGGCTGAAGCTATTTCTAAGTCTCCACCAAACTATGTTATTATTCAGTACGATACCAAGAGCTATTGGAAATGACAGAGTTTCCATTATCAAGCCCAGCTTTGAATCAGGAAGTATTTTCTTCTTGGCTCTTTGAGAACTAGGGGTCCGCCTGGGGTGAGCATGTTAAAGGCATGTTGCTGTTCACAGGGCAACAACTGAGTGAAGAAAGTCCAGGTCTAAGATCATGAATAACTTCCAGGCAGGCAGCCACAGGCTGGCTGTGATTACAGAGAGCAGGAAGGGCTCCACGCCCTGACATTCCCTCCCTATCGCCTTCATCTGCTGGGACTGGGGTTTTTGTTTTGTTTTGTTTTGTTTGTTTGTTTTTTTAAGGGAACAATACCTTTAATTTGGCAATAAGAGATCAATTCTCGCAGAATTAAAGAAGTCAAGTCGCTCTTAGATCCTATCCTAAGAAGGGGGTTTCATCCACCCCCATTCTTCCTGGCGGGAAGAAAAGAAGAGCATGAAGAAAGAAACAGGCACACCTTGACCTAAGACCAACTCATCTCATACCAAGGAGAAAGCAGAGACAAAGCCCATGCCCTCTCTGTGCCTGCACTCCTCACCTCCAAGAACGTGATGACCTTGGGCTCTTCAGTTGGCCTTGTAAGGCCCCATCAGACAGGCAAGAACTCTGAATTGTTTTATGGTAGAAGGACACCATCGGCCTGTGATGTGGATAACACAGATCTGGCTGCCTACTGGAGCCTGGGAGCTGGAAAAAGTCCCAGTGCCTATGTTTCACTCCCAGAGATGCCCACAGATTGGCCTGGAGTGTGGTCTTGGGTATTCGGGTTTCTAAAAGTGCCCAGATGAATCGAATGTCTAGTCAAGGCTGGGAACCACCGGTCTAACCGGAGAGCGGCCACACAGCCTAGGGTCAGCGTCTTCCACACAATTTCAGGTCAGGCTCACTCTCACTAGGACAGTGGTTCTCAACCTTGGCTGTCATTAGAAGCACTTAGGAAGCTTTACGAAATCATAATGTGTTGGTTGCACTCTGGTTCAGTTAAATCAGAACTCTGGAGCCAGGTCCAAGAAACCGCTTTGGTGACTCTAACAGCGTGAACTAGTGGCGTCACAGACACCTCGCTCTCCTGCGTTCCACCTGACACTACAGGCACTGGCAGTGGATGAACAGGGGCAAGGGCTTCCTCAAGTCATGAAATCTATGATTCTGTGGGAAACTGGCTCTTTTTTGGCAGACTCTGCTGAAATGCTGGGCTAGTGAATACTGCCATGGAGCTGATAGCTTCTTCCCCGAGCATGGTCTGGCAAAACAGAGCTGGTCACTCTGCTGGCCGAGGCGACCATTAGTGCAGGAATTTGGTCATCGACAGCTATGCCTGGCACACACCCTAGAAGCCTGCCAGGCTCTGCCACGGGTACAGAAATATAAAACTATATGGATCCCAGTCCTTGAGGAACTTGTAGTATCGATCATAAGTGAGTTACTAAGAAAGTAATTTACAGCAATACTATGATATATCCATCAGGCTTTTCTGGGACATGGGAGATCCCCACAAGTGAGCTTTACAGGAAAGTTCCTCTAAGTTAAAGATGTTTCCTTTTTTTGTTTGTTTTTATCACTTCTGATGGAAATCTTTCTAAAATGATTTCCATCCTTCTCTGCCTTTTTTTTTTTCTTTTTTTTTTTTTTTTTTGAGATGGAGTGTCACTCTGTCGCCAGGCTGGAATGCAGTGTGGCACAATCTCGGTTCACTGCAAGCTCTGCCTCCCGGGTTCAAGCAATTCTCCTGCCTCAGCCTCCCAAGTAGCTGGGATTACAGGCACGCACCACCATGTCCAGCTAATTTTTGTATTTTTAGTAGAGATGGGGTTTCACCATGTTGATCAGGATGGTCTCAAACTCCTGGTCTCATGTGATCTGCCCGCCTTGGCCTCCCGAAGTGCTGGGATTATAGGGCCACCGCGCCCAGCCTGCCTTCTTTAACTGCGTACACTGAACATAATTTGACCCTTTCTCGGTGGCTCAAGGGCACTATTATCAACTAGCAGAGCTGCCATGTATGATTAAGCAAAATATGCCTGTGCAACTTCAGGAGGTGCCAACACCTTATAGTCTTGATTTTTACCGTTATTTCCCCAGTTTTCTGGTAGATCACAATCAAGTGTCTTAAAGAAGCTGTACCTTTTTCTCTCAGCTGCCGATCATTTCTGCACAGTGCCTGCTCCCCAGAGGGGCCGTGGAGGTGACCAGGGCTATTTGCTCCTAGCCTGACGTGGTCATAGAGAACTGCAATTTATAATGATCTTTCCTATACCCTCTGATGTTCTGTCTTCTCCCTCACTTGACCCCAGCCAGTGCCGAATTCTTGCTATCCTACGTACCTCTAGTAGCCATTCATCTTCCTCCAGTTACCACTTCTACATGCAACCACTGGGGAACAGCATTGTCAAGTCACTGACTTTATACTAAATGCATTCCTAAATCAGCCAGCCTTGGCTGGGTGCGGTAGCTCATGTTTGTAATCCCAGCACTTTGGGAGGCCGAGGCAGGCAGACCACTTGAGGTCAGGAGTTCAAGACTAGCCTGGCCAACATGGTGAAATTCTGTCTCTACTAAAAATGCAACAATTAGCCGGGCATGGTGGCACGCACCTGTAATCCCAGCTACTTGGGAGGCTAAGGCAGGAGAATCACTTGAACCCAGGAGGTAGAGGTAAGAGTGAGTCAAGATTGTGCCACTGCACTCCAGCCTGGGTGACAGTGCAAGACTCCATCTCAAACAAACAAACAAAAAAATCAGCCAGCCCTTGGAGAAAGCTCTGAGCTTGACCCCACAATGATGCCCTAGATCCAAGGGCCAGGGTCTTGTGCAGCTCTCTTCCTTTATTTTGTCACCTGTGTTCAGATTCTTGGCAGCTATATTTTGGATGCACCTGAGGTAGCCAGAAGCCTGATCTTCTGATTTAAAAGGGCATAAACCAGCACTTCATAGTGGTAACATGCTAAGATGTGTGCTGTGCTATCAGGGAACAGTGTTTTCAGGGAACTCACTCATCGACTTTGGAGCTTTTTGTTTGCTCATCATTTCTGCTTTGCTTTATTTTGCTTTGGTTTAATATAAATTCCCTAAGGCATGTGTATCCCTAGGCATATAGATTTTACAAAACTTTCTCAAATGGTTCTTCCTTTTTCTTTTTCTTTTCTTTTCTTTTCTCGTTTTCTCAGATGGTTCTGATGAGCAGCCAGTTTTTCAGCCACTGGTCTGGCATGCCTGAGAGCTTTCTAGGCCACACCAGGGGGGTGTGTCACCTCTCTCCTCACTCTATGTCCACCACCACTTTCAAGTCAGTCCTTTTTTTTTTTTTTTACATGGAGTCTCGCTCTGTTGCCCAGGCTGGAGTGCAATGGCGCAGTCTTGGCTCACTACAACCTCCACCCACCATGTTAAAACGATTCTCCTGCCCCAGCCTTCCAAGTAGCTGCAATTACAGGCACCTGCCACCGCGTCTGGCTATTTTTTTGTAATTTTAGTAGAGACGGGGTTGCACCATGTTCTCCAGGCTGGTCTCGAACTCCTGACCTCAGGTGTTCCACCCGCCTTGGCCTCCCAAAGTGCTGGGATTACAGGCATGAGCCACCAATCCTGGCCAAGTCAGTCCATTTTTAAGACTCCTTGACTACCCCGCAGGTGGATCAGAGGGAAAAGTCCTGGGTGCACACAGCAGCCAGGAACTCACTGTTTTCTTTCTTTCAGCCGTGCTCTTCCCTGCTGCCCACCGGCCAAAGAGGTCCTCATCACTGCCATTGAACCCAGTCCTGCAGAACTCCCTGGAGGAAGTGGAGCTGCTCTTCGAGGTAGGCAGAGGGGAATGTGCTCAATCCAAGTCACCCAAAAGGCACTGCACTTTCTCTCTCTTTTTTGGAAAAGAAGTGACCTGAGCCCCTGACCATGAGTGACCCCTGCTGTGGTAGGGACTAGCCTAATTTGTAGAGGTCACAGAATCTTGCTCATTCATAAAGTATTCCTCATGCCTCCTGTCTTTCCCACATGCTATAACAGAGAATGATGGCGTTAGGAGTTCAGTTCAGTTTAAATTAAAATTAGAATTGGCCCATAGGCATCAATCCTGGCGCCCAGGCAGCAGAGTGTGGCAAAATTCCCAAGCAAAGGCCTTGAGGCAGGACTTGCCAGGAAATGCCAAGCTGTTGTCTGGGTGCAGCCATGTCTCCAAGGCCCTGCATGCTGTGACAGCAGTGCTGTCTGGATGAGCTGCCAGCCCAGCTGGGTTTCTGGAAGCCACGGACCACCCTGCCAGCTCTCTTCCACTGCCTCTCACCTTGCATCACTGAGACCCCACTCCTCCTCCAAACCACAGGGTCAGTTTCCCAAGGCCACCCAGATTGGTTCAGTGTTATGATTCCAGGCTCGAGATCTGAGCTTTAGTCCTGGCTCTGTCACCCGTCCGCTGTGCCACCTTGCATAAGCCATAGTTTCTCTCTGGGCCTGACTCTCCTCATCTGTTAAATGAGAGAATTCAACTATGCTGTCCAAAATTCCCGTCCCGCTGTGACATCCTCTGACTCCATGCACTAGGACTGTCTGGTTAAGAAAGAGACAGCTGGGCCAGGTGCAGTGGCTCGTGCTTGTAATCCCAGCACTTTGGGAGGCTGAGGCAGGTGGATCACCTGAGGTCAGGAGTTCGAGACCAGCCTGGCCACCATGGTGAAACCCCATCTCTACCAAAAATACAAAAATTAGCCGGGCGTGGTGGCATGCACCTGTAATCCCAGCTACTTGGGAGGCTGAGGCAGGAGAATCACTTGAACCTGGCAGGTGGAGGTTGCAGTGATCTCAGATCATGCCACTGCACTCCAGCCTGGGCGACAAAGCGAGACTCCATCTCAAAAAAATAAAATAAAATAAGAGATAACTTGCTGTAGCCATGTAGTTAAGTCAGGGGAGAGATTTCAAATCCTGCCTTGGGAACCAGACTGGGAAATGCAGAGTCTTTGCCTAGTCTTGAACATGGGAGTCACACGAAGAGATCTGTATTTCAGAAAGATCATAGACAGTGCCATGGAGGATGAACTAGGGCAGGGGAAGACGGAGACAGAGAGAAGAGTTAGGATTTGGAGTCATTCCGTCCCGACTGTGAGCCTGGCACTACGCAGGGAAGTGCGTGGCAGACCCAGTTCCTACGCTTAGTGGGCAGGTGAGAGAAAAGGGCAAACGTCTGTATCCCACTTGATTCCTAGCACAATCCTCTGCATCCTTCAAACTCTGAACATTTTTCCAGAGGTCTTATAGTAAATATAAAGAAACTAGAGCTATACCCAAAAAATAGATTGTTTGCCAAGGATGTACTTCTTGACTTTTCCAAAAGCTGCCAAGAAGAATCAGTTAGAACATCAGTCATCTGGCTTGGCGCAGTGGCTCATGCCCGTCATCCCAGCACTTTGGGAGGTCGAGGCTGGGGGATCATCTGAGGTCAGGAGTTTTCGAGACCAGCCAGACCAACATGGTGAAACCCCATCTCTACTAAAAATACGAAAAACTAGCCGGGCATGGTGGCGGGCACCTATAATCCTGGCTGCTTGGGAAGCTGAGACAGGAGAATCACTTGAACCCGGGAGGTGGAGGTTGCAGTGAGCTGAGATCGTGCCACTGCATTCCAGCCTGAGTGACAGAGTGAGACTCCATCTCAAAAAAAAAAAAAAAAAAATCAGTAATTTTATGACCTTTATGTCTGAACTCTTTTTTGAAAGCTGGTTTAACACAGAAGAGAAACAGGAAGGGACCAACAGCCCGATCCAGTCACACCTTGTCTTTGAATAGAAAAACCAAGCTAATGCAGAAAGAGTCTCCCAGCTTCTGCCTTAAAATTATCTGAAATAGTTGATGCTTTAGATGATCTTTGTTGGGTGGGAGAAAGAAAGGGAAGAAGGAATTTATCCAGGACACTAGAAACTATAATTAGTCCCTTAAATACTGGCTTTGAACCAGGCACTCTATTAGCTTTGTCCATATTTGTCTTATTTACCTCTCACAATATCCCAGTGAAGTAGATGCTGTTACTAATTATTTACACAGAGAAGGAAAGTGAGGCTCAGAGAAGTTAAGTAACTTGTCCAAGATCACACAGCAAGTGAGAAAGTCACAACTGGAACTCAGGTCTCTTGGGTTCCAAAGCTCTTTTGGCAGCTGCCTCCCTAAGGGAAGGTGTGTGATAATGAATACAACTGTGTCCTCAGCAATGCCCCACTTCATATTTTTGCACATTCACATTTCTCACCAGTTCCTGCTGGCCGAACTTGAGATCAGCCCTGACCTGCAGATCTCCATCAAGGACGAGGAGCTGGCCTCCTTGCGGAAGGCCTCGGACTTCCGCACTGTCTGCAACAACGTCATCCCCAAGAGCATCCCAGACATCCGCCGGCTCAGCGCCAGCCTCTCCAGCCACCCTGGCATCCTCAAGAAAGAAGACTTTGAAAGGACAGTGCTGACCCTAGCCTATGCGGCCTACCGCACAGCCCTGTCCCATGGCTATCAGAAGGACATCTGGGCGCAGTCCCTCGTTAGCCTCTTCCAAGCCCTGAGGCATGACTTGATGCGCTCCTCACAGCCGGGAGTACCTCCCTGAGAGACTGGCCCACACCAGGACCTCGGAGCAGGGACCAGCACAGTAATCCAGAAAGTCTTCATTCTCTATTCCATTTACAGAGACCAGCAACAAAACACGTACCGCTGACACAGAGCAGCAGAGATCAAACACAGTAACGCCGATGCTCTTTTCTCTCCTTGTAGTTTCCTAGAAGACACATCTGATTCATGCCATCATGTGACCTGGAAGGGCTGGAGTAGTAATTCAAGATGCCTCCATGGGCAGAATGGGTTGCCTGTGGCAGGCAGAGGTCTGATATGCTTCAACCCAGAGCACCAGCCACACACACTCAAGAGTGAAGACAGGCCGGGCACAGCGGCTCATGCCTGTAATCCCAGCACTTTAGGAGGCTGAGATGGGAGGATTATTTGAGGTCAGGAGTTCAAGACCAACCTGGGCAACACAGTGAAAACCCATCTCTACTAAAATCACAAAAATCAGCCGGACACGGTGGCGCATGCCTGTAATCCTGGCTACTCAGTAGGCTGAGGCAGGAGAATCATTTGAACCCAGGAGGTAGAGGTTGCAGTGAGCTGAGATCATGCCACTGCACTCCAGCCTGGGGAACAAAGTGAGACTCTGTCTCAAGAAAAAAAAAAAACATTAAAAAAGGATTGAGGAAGGAGCTAAAGGAGTCATCATGGCAGGAAGATGGGGGACAGATTCCTTCGGTCCTAAGGGACTAGGGTGCTGGGATGAATGAACATTTTTCCAGAGGTTCTATAGTAAATATAAAGAAACTAGAGCTATACCCAAATAAATATATTATTTGCCAAGGATATACTTCTTGACTTTTCCAAAAGCTGCCAAGAAGAATCCATTAGAAAATCAGTAATTTTGGCCGGGCGCGGTGGCTCACGCCTGTAATCCCAGCACTCTGGGAGGCCGAGGCGGGCGGATCACAAGGTCAGGAGCTCGAGACCATCCTCGTTAACACGGTGAAACCCCGTCTCTACTAAAAATACAAAAAATTAGCCGGGCGCGGTGGCGGGCGCCCGTAGTCCCAGCTACTCAGGAGGCTGAGGCAGGAGAATGGCGGGAACCCAGGAGGCGGAGCTTGCAGTGAGCCGAGATCGCGCCACTGCACTCCAGCCTGGGCGACAGAGCGAGACTCCGTCTCAAAAAACAAAAAAAAAACAAAAAAGAAAGAAAATCAGTAATTTTATGACTTTTATGTCTGAACTCTTCTTTTTTGAAAGCTGGCTTAACACAGGAGAGAAACAGGAAGGGGCCCACAGCCCGGTCCAGCCACACCTTGTCTTTGAATAGTAAAACCAAGCTAATGCAGAAAGAGTCTCCCAGCGAACAAGGTGGCATGAAGACCCGTGCCTGTCTGTCTTCATGTGAAAATCATTTAGCATCATCAGAGCACTAAATGCTCCAAATAAAAATGATTTTCAGATGACAGAATTCTACCCTTTCAAATGCCAAAACTTTCCTTTTAGAGATGTTGACTCGATATCTATTTAAACTATACATACATATCACCTTAAGCTTTTGTTTAGTGTAAGATCATCATTTAAACATCCTTGTGTGTGTGCGTGTGTGTGTGTGTGTGTGTGTGTGTGATATGAGAGAGATGGAGTCTCGCTCTGTCGTCCTGGCTGGAGTGCAGTGGCACTATCTCGGCTCACTGCAACATCTGCCTCCTGGGTTCAAGTGATTCTTCTGCCTCAGCCTCCCAAGTAGCTGGGACTATAGGCGTGCACCACCACACCTGGCTAATTTTTGTATTTTTACTAGAGACGGTTTTTTACCATGTTGGCCAGGCTAGTCTCGAACTTCTGGCCTCAAGTGATCCACCTGCCTCAGGCTCCCAAAGTGTTGGGATTATAGGTGCAAGCCATTGCACCCGGCCATATCATCATTTAAATATTCTAATGAAGAAGTTGGATAAGATAATCTCTAAGACTCCTACCTATGAAGTTTCTACAATCGTTTAACTGTGAGATGCTATAAGGAGAGCACCTGGACCTAAGAAGTCTGCTCAACTGTTTGTACCGACGCTGACAGGTCCCAGACTCCTCATTCCGTGTTCAGTTCTGAGTTTTTCTGCTGTCTCCCTCACTGTCAGACTATTAGAGCGTATTTTTCTTTGTTGCCAATACAACTTGCCCTTCACAGTCTGTTCTTTCTTAGCTGGCCATCGCCTACAAACTCAGATAGCCAGGCTTGTTATAATTCTATGTTAAATAAGAGTTAATAGATAAAGGCCTCTGCTAGGGGTTGAATGTTTGGGTCCTAATAAGGATTCCTCATTAGCTCAGAGATCTTTCTGGCTTCTCCTAAGTTTACGGCTGTGTTCTGCAAGCTAAAGCTGCAATAAGTCTGATCTTGGAATGAGTGAGGATTTATTGGGCTAAATTTGATTCTGAAATGGGTATTTAACAATTGTCATTTGATAAGGATGAGGTCTCGACTCCTTCAAAATCTTTGAGCAAATAAGCTTTGCCTAGCAGTGCTACCTGCATGATCTTTTTGGAGAAATACTGGGATGCAGGAAGAAGGTATTCATCATCAGAGAAAAACACAGTTTTGCATCCTGATATTCTCAGGCTCAGAAGATTAGTAAGTCTCAGTCTCTCTTTCTCATTCCTTGACCATACTGCTCTTTTACCTCCTTCAAATACAGATTCTGATGTATGCTTTTTTTGTTCAATCTTTCTCTTTCTAAATGTACATGTTCTCTCTGACACGGTCACTCTGCTTGTCTCTTTCTTTCTTTGTTTTTTTTAGTTGGTAGCTCTGCTGCTCTATATTTGGGCCCAGTTCCATATATCTTTGGGTCTGTTTTTCGATGCATCTGCAAGACTCTTCTGCTTGACTTTTGCTCTATCTCTGCTGACCCACACTCTAACACTCACTGTCTGTCAGTCTTCTCTGGGTATCATTGTTTAAATAAAGCAAAAGTCAGTGTACAGACGGTGTTGGGATCGCCCAGAGGCAGATAAACACGGTAGCCTACCTTCACTGTTTGTACTTTTCCTAGATGTCAGGTGGGGAGTGGATTAGCAATGGCCTCAGTCCCTAGACACTGTGCAATACCCTGATAGTCAGTGTCCCGCCCTGAGGCTCCACTCCCTTGACAATGGATCTGAAAACTTTCTTGTATTCAGAATCATCAGATAGAAAGGCCCACCCCTGTAGTCCCTGACCACCATGTTATGTAGATGGCTGCTCCCAGTAGTTAAGAAATCCATGAATGGGAGGATGGTTCCCAGGAACACTCACCCAGCAACAAAAAAAATTAAACACAAATTGGGGCCTGAATTTCTGTGGCAATCAATGACTGAAAAAAAAAATAGAAAAAAGAAGGACATGACCTTTTTAAAGACAGATGAAGACTCGTTTTCAGTAACTAGAATCCTAAAAACTATTTTAATCTGAATGCAGATAATTGTTTACCCACAGTTTTATAACAATGACTTCATTGACATGCAGAATCGAATACTATGATCACCACCAGCAGCCAGCAAACCCTATTCTTTGCCCAAGGAACAGTAGAAATGTAGACTAGACAGACAAACAGGGTCTCCTATTTTGCCTCATTAGTGCCACACTCTACACAACTAGTCATGAAGGGGTCACATTTGGTTATAATTACTATTAGAATAATATGGGAGTGTGATGTTTATAGTGGAAACTTGCCCATGACTTATGTAACCATTTCTGCTGACAAATTTTAGGATCTAAAAACTTTGTGGGTTTTTTTGTTTTGTTTTTGTTTGTTTTTTGAGACAGTCTCTCTCTGTCCCCAGGCTAGCGTGCAGGGGCACCTCTGCCTACAGGGTTCAAGCGATTCTCCCACCTCAACCTCCCGAGTAGCTGGGACCATAGGTGTACATCACCATGCCCTGCTAATTTTTTTGTATTTTTAGCAGAGATGGGGTTTCACCATGTTGGCCAGCCTGGTCTCAAACTCCTGACCTCAAGTGGTCTGCCGGCCTTGGCCTCCCAAAGTGCTAGGATTACAGGCGTGAGCCATCGCGCCCGGCCCACGATCTAAAAACTTTCTACGTTTCCTCCATCGTTGGCATCCTCACAGCTATCTCCAGTGTCACTCAAGAGACATCAACAAACATTTAACTGCTGAAACCTTCATTGCTCTGTCACCTCACCTTGAATCTAACAAATCAAAGTATTTCTGCAGGTCCAACAGTCTAAAATTAAATGCTTGTTAAATTATTTTGTACAACACCCCTTACTTTCCTAATCCATTTCAATATCTTATTTTTTTTATTGTGGTAAAAAACACATCACGTAAAATTTACCATCTTAACCATTTTTAAGCATATAATACAGCAGTGTTAACTCCATGAATGTTGCTGTACAACAGACCCCCGGAACTTTCTCATCTTGTAAGTCTGAAGCTCTATACGCATTGAACAACTCCCCCTTTCCCCCTTCCCCCTGCCTGCCCCAGCTCTTGGTACCATTATTCTGCTTTCTGTTTTTGAGAGTCTGACTACTTAAGATACCTCATACAAGTGGGATCTGGCTTACATTTCTTGAGCATTGTATTCTGGAAAAGTGTTTCCTTCCTCTGAAAAATGGGTAGAGTTCTGAAGGAGAACTACTGGTGTTATTGTATCACTTGCTGTACCTATTTTTATTTAACAAATATTCGTCTACGGTATAATAAAAATGTCATGATTGAGTTGCTCACCGGAATCTTTGTTATCTCAGAGTATCTCGCTGAGGAATCTGAAATGGTTCATGGGTTTGACAGTGGATGTTGACTTCCACAGCTGCTTATAATTATCCGGTGTCTTTAATGTTTGCGACCAAAACATCACACGTGGTATTGTTCATTCTGAGTTTCAAAATCATAACCAAAAAAATGAGGCCAGAATGTAGTAAATACAGTAGCCAGTCTTTAACATGCATTTAAAGAGTTGAGTCATCCTAGCCCATCCTATGATGGCAAGATAATTTCAAAGGGGACCTGGGCTGTCCACAGTTGCACCTGCCTTAAAAGTCAAGAAGAATTTGTTTTTTGGGTGACTTCCCTGGTCACTTTAGCCTGGGGATCATTTCCAAGTAGTATAGCTGCAGATCTTGGAACGCCATTCCTGTGTTCTGTGAATTCAAGACAACGTGGGTTTTATAACCCTTTGACTCTGCTCAGCATCTCCCAGATCAAGGTAAGGTCATGTTGCCAGGAACCACTACTTACAGAATGTTTGGGCTTTTGCTTTTGCTTTTCTTCCTTGCCCCAAATCCACATGTCCGTTCTGAGAAAAGAAGCTAACAACTTCTTCCAGTCTGTAAGCAGGAGAAATTCCAGAGTTCAGCTGCAGCTAAGACCTTGTCCCTGAACTCGTCAACTTCTTCCCTGCCCTCCCACCTCCTCCTTTTGTACCAGCCAAAGAAGGGCTTCGGTTTCCTTTTTGGAGAGCCTCAGAGAGAAGCATTTGAGCACCTACTTTAGCCAGAGAGTCCACTGACATCTGGGCATGAGACTGGCATCTAGACTTTGCCAGGGAGGCAGCTGTACTTTCCAAAAGATCTGGAGTCTTTCTCACGGGCTCATACCCTCGGCTGGCCTAGACCCTTTATATTCCCCCCTGGTGCTGAGGCGAACGATCTTTGCCAGCAGGGAAGTCTGAAAGGCTTAACTTTGTACTCTCTGAGGCAAATTCTCCAAAAGGAATGTTGCATTTTCTCCCTGCCACCAGGAACATTCCCTTCCTAAGGTCTAGATCAGCAGGTGGCCCTCCCAGCCAAAGCTCTGTGTCCTATGATCCGAAACAATAAAGCTGTGCTTGGGTACGTGAGATTATGTTTACGATGATGGTCATCACTCCAGCCGTAGGAAGTTGGAGAAACTGAAAAATAAGCTTAGCAGGCTGCCTAGGTTCTGCGGAATCAGCAAGCCCCCGCTGTGACCAATCAAGAGCGGCCTCGGCGAGAGAAATTAACTCTTTCTTTTCAATTTGCTGATTGGCTTTGAGGAGTGGGCGGAGCTACTGCCTCTGTCCCAGCTTCCCATTGGTGGATGAAAGTTAAAGGTGGGCCTCCAGTAAGTTTTTGTCCTTTGATAAAAAGGAATGTCGTGGGGACTTTTCTTTTCTGCTTTGGAGGCCCAGGCTCAAGGCAAATTATAAGTAGGGAACCAATCTGAGGGAAAGACATGTGAACAGAGTTAAGATACCAGGTCCTGGGAGCGACCAGCAGCCCCACCTGAAGTCCGCCTGCAACTCTGACAAGCTCAGGTGCTTGTTTTAAGGAAAGGGGCTACTAGATTCTTACGAACAGGGAGCCTAGGTAGGAGATGAAACAAGGACTCCCCAAAATAGGTCATCAGAGGGAGGAAAACTGATGGAGAGCACAATATGCTCTGAGCGTTTTTCATGTTTTTAAGCTTTTAAATGATTTCTTCAAGGCCGAGCAGCAGCAGCAAAGGTGTGGTTTAATGGATTAAGAGGGTTTTTGCTGACACCTAGAATGAAGTTACTCTATTACTAATCAAGCCGAGAGAAGGCCCACTATGCCCCCGTTTATCATCCTTTCCCAGTTCCTTTTTGCTGGTCACAAAACGATGCTCATCAATCCCACCTAAAGCAGGAGGCCGGGAGCCCAGCCTCTTGCAGAAACAGCGAGGGTATAACTGCCCTCCAGTTCTGCCCCCAAGACGAAGGAGGACTCTTGGAAGCCAAGAAAGGTTTAAGAAGTCTCTCTGGATAGAGAGCAGTGCCCAGGGAGGAAGCCCTTCGCCGGCAGAGCGGGGTCCGAGGACGAGCTGGAGAGGACAGCGGCGCGATGGGCCTGCTGCAGGGCCTGCTCCGAGCCCGGAAGCTGCTGCTGGTCGTCTGCGTCCCGCTCCTGCTGCTGCCTCTGCCCGTTCTCCACCCCAGCAGCGTGAGTACCGACCTGCGCCCGCCGGGGATCAGGGAGTCAGTGGGAGGGCAAAGAGGGGAGGTCGATGGGGAACATGGGGTGCTCAGGCAGTCCCTCAAAGTGGCTTGTGGTGGGTTTAAAGAAATGGAAGGGTTTTTCTGGAGGAAACCAAGATACCTTCTTCCTAAAAGCTGTCATGTTCATCTCCTATCCCAGTCCCAGTGCCCCAACCCCATGGCCTCCACCAGGGGTCAGGACAGAGTAGGGGCCTTGGCAGAAGTGACTGATGGATGTTGCACCAAGCAGCAGGCCAGCCCGCCCCAGCAGCCAGGGCCAGCGACACCCATGCAAACGACATGGTTTGCATCTGTGATTGTCGGGAATTCACCTGGGACCCTGGTTATCTGAGAGCCCCTGGAGACACAGAAAGAGCTCCCAACAGTGGCACTGAGGAGAAGGCTGGGGGAGGAAGAGAACGGTGGAGCCAGTCTGTGGTCTGTGGTGGCATCCTGGTGGGCTTCGATGACCACAGTTGAAGCTCTAATCCCGAAGGCTTCTATCAGCTTTAGGGAATGAATGAGTAGAGAAGGAAGGAAAGAAGAGCTTGGCAGGCTGCCCCAGTCCCATGCATGTGGCCTTGAATTATTTGTGTCTTCTGTGTTTTCTTCTCTGTGCCCTTGAAGGACAGACAAAAAGTGGCACGATAAAAAAGAGATAAGAGCCCTCAAACTCTACCCCGTGAGCTCATTCCTCAACTGGTTTGTGTGAACAGAGGAACCTGAGCTCTGGCTCCGCATCCAGCTTGACTGTCACACCCTCCCCGTGGTCACCTGCTTCCCTTCCCTTCCTTCCGCTGTTCTCTTCCTCCTGTCTGTGGCTTGTCCCCGTCCTGCAGCTGGCACTGCCCTGGAGACTTTAGGAAAAGTAAGCTAAAACAGGTTAATCATGTTTGTAGGAGGGGGAGTAATTCTTCTACTCTGCTCCTTAAGTAACTTGGTAACCAAGATTAAGTTAAAAAGTTAAACAGAAGGGATTAGGATGGCTCTTCTCAAAAACAAACTGGCTTAAATCTTTCATAGAATAAATACTCCAGAGTGCCAGGGAGATGCCAATTAAAACTGGGCTGGGATTAGCAGACAGTGATTGCTGCTGACATTTTTCCTGTACTGTTCCCCAGTCAATTTTCTGCTTTGTCCAAATGGGTCTGATTTTTTTTCTTTTTGTGTCTTTTCTTGTTTTTGTTTTTTCTCAATGTCAGGTTGATATAAGGGACTGTTACCAAGGGACATATTAGCCTCCTCTCCTAAGCAGTATCAGGAACCTCTCATATCTCCTGGTTGAGTCAGCCCCACCTTTGGGGACCTTGGCCACAGCCCACAGAAGGCACAGACTAGGTGCCCAGCAGGTAGAGTGTCTTTCATCCATCTGTCACCCCTTTCATCAAACTTTTTTTTTGTAGACGCAGAGTCTCACTCTGTCACCCAGTCTGGGGTGCGGTGGCACAATCATAGCTCACTGCAGAGCTCCTGAGGTTAAGCAATCCTCGTGCCTCAGCCTCCGGAGTAGCTGGGACTACAGGCAAGCAAGCACCACCACATGCAGCTAATTAAAAAATTTTAAAAATTTTTTTCTTTTTTGTAGAAATGGAGGCTTCACCATGTTTCCCAGGCTGGTCTCAAACTCGTGGTCTGATGTGATCCTCCCACAATGTTGAGATTACAGGTGTGAGCTACCATGCCTGGCCTGCCTCAAACTTTTGGATTCTGATATTGAACCCTTAAAATTCCAAATAGATGTGCTTGCCCTGGGCTGGAGTTGAGAGCAGTGATGCAGTACCTGGACAGGAGCTCCTGGCCTGCAGTTTTGATAGTTCTTCTAAGCGACAAGCCTCAGCTACATTTTAGGAGGAGTCAAAATGACCTTCCCCCTTTTTCTTGCCCAGCTCTCTAAAACTAGAGGTCCAGACACTATTTATCATGTTATAGAAGAAGAGGGTACAAGAGAGGGCATCCATAACTAAGCCCTTCCTCAGTGCCCCCAGTGGGATAAAAGTTGCATCTCAACCACCCAAGCTAAATTTTTTTAAAAGGCGCCCCCAGTCGTTCATGGTAACAGATAACAGACTTTAACCTTCTTCCAGTGAAGTTGGAGTGGGATATCACTGGAGTGGTCAAACTGCATGGAAAACGAGCAGTTCCATGCCTAAGTTAGTAGCTGACTAGGAAACGTCCTACATAGGGAAATGCCACTTTCAAACTCTTTCCTCTACTTGTAAACAGAAACCAAAAAATAGTAGATAGCACTGTCCCTTGAAGACATTGTCTGAATACTCACCAATCCCCAACCCCCACACACCTGTTTATAAGGAACCAGTGGTGTTGATAAAGAGCCTGGGGGTTGCAGAATATTCTCTCCAGATGAGCGAGACCTGACAGCCAGCAGAGAAGTCCAGTGCAGTTTAGCCCACGTGAATTGAGCCACCTGCTAGACATGGGATAGGCGCCGGGGACATGGGACTCCTTGTAAGCAAACTTTGCAGTATTTTTGGTTGTCTGAATACAAGCTTACCTCCTGAATTTTGGGAAGGTTTAGAAGTGGAAAAATGAAGTTTATGGAGATTCCATGGGTGAAATAAGTGGAAACTATACGGAAAGACTCTCTAAAGGTGTCTCTTGTCCATTCTTCTACTCTAAGGAAAATGCAGGTAAAAAATGATAGTAATCAATCCTGTCCTTACTACTGCTGGGTGAAGGTGGCCTGATGACTTACTTCCTCCAGCAACCTAGTCGCATGTCTAATAATATTTACAACCAAAATGTTTGCCTTATTTTACCCAAATTCTCCTAAAGGTGCCCGGCAGAAGGAAAGCCCTCTCTCTTTCTTTCTCTCTCTCTCTCCTCTTTTTTTTTTTTTTTTTCGAGACAGAGTCTCACTCTGTCACCCAGGCTCTAGAGCGCAGTGGCGCAATCTTGGCTCACTGCAACCTCTGCCTCCCGGGTTCAAGGCATTCTCCTGCCTCAGCCTCCTGAGTAGCTAGGATTACAGGCATGTGCCACCACATCTGGCTAATTTTTTTGTATTTTTAGTAGAGACAGGGTTTCGCCATGTTGGCCAGACTGGTCTCGAACTCCTGACCTCAAGTGATCCACCCACCTCAGCCTCCCAAAGTGCTGGGATTACAGGCTCCTTTCCTCTTTCTCCTTTCCCTTTCTCCCCACCTTCTCTCCCCACCTCCTTCCCCTTAACTTATAACTTGTAGCCCTGTAATGACCAGATCAAGAAAGACTAAGGGTTCCAGGGAGAAATAAGGGGCCCCAGTGAGGGGCCGACATTTTGTCTCTCAACTCTTTCTCTTCAACTGGAATTAAGATCTGCCACTCTGTCTCTTTCCCAGAAAAGAGACGAGAACACGTGGGCTTGAACTCGTTTAGGTAGTTTTATTTCTATAGCAAACAGGGTATTTCTCTAAATTGAATTCGTTTCCAAGTGGAGCCTTTTTTTTTTTTTTTTTTTTTTTTTCCCACCATTGGTTCTGTTGTCTTATCAGCACTTCCAAAAGTTTTATCTTCCCTCTGATCTTTTGGCCCCAGAGAACATCTCAGTGGGGAGCTACAGTCAACAATCATTGGGCCCAGTTCCCATTTCTCAAACCCCAATCCCATAATCCACGAATGTCAGGAGAGCAAAGGTCCTTGCCAGCCCAGCTGATTTAATCACTCCTGCTGCCCCTCACTGATACAGCGACCTTTTGTAACTTTTATGCAAGAGTTTGAGGACGCGTGTTCTGAACTCAAGGGGCGATAAACAGCAAGATTTGTCGGGTTCCTTGATCAGCAGCCAGCCTCAGGGCAAGTCAGACACGAGTCCTGGTGGTTTAGAACTATGTAAAAATTGAGGTGCCCACAGCCAACTTGGATTTTCTATAAATGGTATTCCGAGTCACGGAGCTCGGTGATGTTCCCATTAACAAGGCCCTTGAATTGTAGCCTCTCCCTAGAGCAAGCTAGTAACCTGTCATAACAGCCTTCATCAGCGCAATTCAGGGCCATCAGCATGACTAGAGGGTAAGCTGCTGGAGGGCTGGCTTTTGATAAGAATGTTGTACTTCATTACCCTGTGCACCCTGTGCACCCCTGGGTTGTCCAGCCAGCAAAGTGAGTGGGCTATGGAAAATGTTGGTGAATTTCCAGGCTTCCCCTTCCAGATAGATGGCTGTCTTTAGTCTTTGTAGACGGATGTTTCCATGGGGTCAGGCAGGTAGAATGGAGTCCAAGAGCAATGAGAACCAGACCCTGGTTAGGGCAGTGGCTCTCAATCAGGGATCATTTTACCTCCCCAAGGGACATTTGGCAATGTCTAGAGACGGTTTTTTGGTTGTCACAATGGAGGAAGTGCTACTGGCATTTAGTGGGTAGAGACCAAGGATGCTGCTCCTTTACAGTGCACAGGACAGCCCCCTGCAACAAGAAACTATGTGGCCCTAAATGTCAGTAGTGCCAAGGCTGAGAAACACTGAGTTAGGAGCTGATGCTTCTTCATCCAAAATGAGAGTCCCATGCTCAGGATCGCTGCCTTCCTCCTCAGTCCTCCCTTCCCTCTCCCAGGGAAGGGAGCTCCTTATTAACTCGTACAGAGACCTTTGGGTGAAGGATCAATCTCTAGATGCAAAACATGATAGAACCTCAGATCCAAAACTGAAGGGGGAATGGTCAACCAGTTCTTGCCTAACAATTTATTTGATTAAAATTTACTACTGAATCAAGTTGTTTCAGCAAATAGTCTAAAACAGGGGGATTTAACTTTGTTTATCCATTTTTAAAGCAGTAAAGCCTTTTTTTTTTTCCAAATGAAATTTCACATGTAATGTTTGTATATGAATCAAATGAGAACAAAGCTACTCCATTTGGGATGAGGCTAGAGAGGGGGTCCAGATTCCAAGTCTTGCTCATCTCCCTGGGATATTCTTGAGACACACCCAAGATGCCCAGGGCTGCAAGAGCACAGTCCAGAAACCACCTTTTGGATTGTTTGTAAATCTCACTTCTTACTGATCCACTTCTCTTCAGTCAGGCGCACACCAATGCCACATATCTTCATATCTTAGGCACATGAGTCAAATTCAGGATGGCTGATCTCAGAGCTTACATGTGAACTAACTGTCCTTTTTTCTTTCTTTCTTTTTTTCCCGGAGACAGCATCGCACTCTGTAGTCCTGTAGTCCCAGGCTGGAGTGCAGTGGCACATGACCATAGCTCACTGCATGCAGCCTAAAGCCCCTGGGCTCAAGTGATCCTCCGGCCTCAGCCTCCCAAGTAGCCGGGACCACAGGCCTGTGCCACCACACCTGGCTAATTTATCTTTTATTTTTTAGAGATGGGGTCTTGCTGTATATTGCCCAGGCTGGTCTCAAACTCCTGGGCTCAAGTGATCCTCCCACCTTGACCTCCCAAAGTGCTGGGATTACAAGTGTGAGCCCCAGTCCCAACCGCACGCAGTGATTCCTATCTCCAACTACCCCAAGAACTTCTACTACCCAGTCAACTTAACACCAGTTACATCCCAGTTCAAGTTAAAGCTTTGAACTCCACTTGTATGGTTTTGTAATCATGGGTCTGGTCACTGCAGTTGAGTTCAATCTCCACCTTGGCAGTTTCCAGAACCCTCAGAGCTGCCTGGCTACACACCAGTGCAAACCACGCGCCAGGCATCGGTCCCCCAAGGAGCAGCCAGAATGTCACCCACCAAAGGATGGACTCACCATGTATTCACCATGCTCGCCTGCCAGTCCGGCTTTGGTCCCAGGGCTGTATGCTTGTACCTGCATTAGAGTCCGAGTACCTGCTGCTTCGATGTCAGGGTTGCATCCGGACGCTCAGTGGCAGTGACTATTCCTGCTATTCCGGTGAATGACTGCCCCTTTCCTTCCCTCGCAGGAGGCCTCGTGTGCTTACGTGCTGATCGTGACTGCTGTGTACTGGGTGTCGGAGGCAGTGCCTCTGGGAGCTGCAGCCCTGGTGCCGGCCTTCCTCTACCCATTCTTCGGAGTCCTCCGATCCAATGAGGTTAGACCACTTGTAGCCCCACCCCCCTGCCTGGGTCCCTGCAGGGCCCCTGAAAGAGAGCCTCCAATGAAGGGAGATTCACTCAGCACTTGAGGATGAGGGGGCCTTGTCACCCACTGGAATGACCGCTTAACACTGAGCCTTGGCATCTGCAGTTCTAGACCCTGAATTCCTCTCCTTCCACCCATAATCCTCATCTCCTTCAAACTGGCTCAAAACTTGCCTCTTTCAGGAAGCCTTGCTTGATTAAACACATCCAGTTGCTCCCTCGGTCTGAAACCTTTTAGGAGCTGTGTGATTTGATGCCGAAAACTCAGCTGCTGTTGACCTTTTTCAGTCTCTGGATGTCTGTTTCGATGATAAGCACACAAAGGCAGGAATCCGACCTCCCATTTTGGGGGCATCTCATTAGAAAGCTGAGCCTGTATCCAGTAGGTGCTCAATGAATGTTTGTTACAGAGAGACTTACCATGTTTCCCTGAGCCCTGACAATGTTTTCATCCACCCCTCCAAAAAACAACATTTCTGTTTCTTCTCCCCCGACTTAAGTTACCGCATGTTCTTTCTTTGCGCCTTCCCTAGAGTGAGCCCTCTCCATTCACTGTCTGTGGCATTCTCAAAAGCTCAAATGGAAATTGTCAGCAGGAAGCCCAGGTTGTGGCAAAATTTCAAAGCAAATATTTAAGCCTGCCATGAGTAGGGAAAAAGAAACAAAACAAAACAGCCAGAACCTGGGAGCAAAATGAATGATGATCTCATTCAGCAACACCTGGTTCCATTTGAACTGTCTCATTATTCATACCTGGTCTCTGCTTAGGGTTTCTGATGAAAAAGCCTGAATCGTAGAGACGGGGGTAAGGTCAGGGGCAGAGGCACAGAAGGAAGACGAAAGGAAGCTCATGTTTGAATGCCTACTAAGCGCCAGGCACTCTATCAGAAGTGCTCCATTTGTTATGTAATACTCCCAAGAGCTCTACAAGGCACATGCTAGTATTTCCATTTTACAGCTAAGCTCAGAGAATTAAGAGACTCACCCCAAATCACAAAGCTGAAAGTAGCAGAATGAGATTCAAACCTGTAACTATTAGATTTCAAAGTGTATACACTTGATCACTACACCATAAGCAAAAGACTCCATAAAGTGGTATGTGGCTTCATGGCACTGTGAACACATGGAGTTATTACTAAGAACTGTGAGTCTTTCGCTTCTGTGATATGAGGAAGAACGGAGCTGGGCCTATGGATGCTTTAATAGGCAACAGAACTTTCCAAAAGTAGAATTAGGCAATTCTCCAACAGTTGTATTTGACTGCAAATGAACACTTTGTCTTTCTACTGGATAGATTTAACTGACTAGTTTTTTGTTTGCTTTTAGGTTCCTTTTCTTTCTTTCTCTCTCTCTCCCCACCCCCCCTTCCCCTGTCTCTCTCTCTCTCTCTCCTTCTTCTTTGTATCTATCTATTTATCTATACACATATATATGTGTGGGTGTGGCTATCTATCTACACACACACACACACATATATATATAGTGGGCATTGCAGAGCCATAGCCTCAGGCTCACCAAAAAGAATAGAATCCCCAAAGCTCTCAGCAGTGCTTTCATTCCTGGAGATGGGTACAACCCCAATATCCTGGGGACTCATGTAAAAGCTAATCTGTTACCAGAATCACCAGGCAGTTGTTCTAATTGCCCCCGTTCTTTTGTGAAAAAAAAGAATAGGTAATATGGGGTTTTGTATCTGCCTAAAGAAAAAAGCAACCTAAAATGTGACTTTTCTTATGAGAGCTCTACAAGCTTGTTCTCCAGGCTTCTCTTTAAAATTGTGAAATTAAAACCAGCAAGGGCAGGGGTTGAAAGTAGAGGGTAGAGGGAAAAAATGACGTTTAGAAAGAACTGAATCCTAAATAACATTTTAAAGTGAGAAAACTATTAATTGAGAAACCTAATCTTTGTGTTTCACTACAGGCAGCCCAAAAGCCAACAGCATGCCTTAGCTTTCAAGCAGACAGTGTCTCTATTTCTCCAAGGGCACAGCAGAGATGTTGCCGGGCAACAGTTATCCGAGGGACGCCCCTTTGTCCATAAGGAGAGTCTGCAGAGGCAGTTGCTTGGGAGGGTAACAGGACTCTGTGAGAAGTAAAGGAAGACAGTCCAGGGAGGGGCTGTGTGTCCCTATTGCTGGGGGCTGGAGGAGCCAGAAAGCATGTCTTATCATTTGAGGTGAAAAATCCTAATCCACCTGCCTGGTGACATGGCTTTGGCTGATGATGATATTTAGTAGTTGGGCTACAGGGAGCAGCTTAGTCCAAATATAGTCTGTTTAGCTGAACTTCTTAGCTCAGATTGGAGGGAAATGCCAGTAAGGCAGAGCACATGGGTTATAGCCCTTTCTGAGCCAGTTAACTTTGCAGAAAAAACACCTATTCCACAACCACCTGTGCACCACTGTGACACCAGAATGTGCCATGGCTCATAGGGGGAAGCTGGGCTGGTGCTCTTTAGGAGCCCCCAAATCCTTGTCATTCCCCAAACCCACCTACTTCTTGACCATCCTCTTACTGCGACTTGGGTTATTCTTCCACTTTGGAAAGTTCTCTCCCATTCCTTTGACCTTTAAAGCCCTACTCAATTACTTTCTTTGGTGAAGCCCTTTCAACGACCAAAGGCTGAAAGTATTGATCCCTTCTCTTTGAGTCTATTTGATGTCTTTATCTTTTAAATGGTGCATCAGATACACCAGATGTAAACTTTTCATAGACATGTACTCTCCCCACCAAGGTTCATGCTCTCTGGGATGTACAATGTCTATGGCCTATCTAGCCCAGCGCCATCCCTGCATCAGACCTCTATTCACGGCTCTTGATTGCAGTGTTTCTTGACAATGTGTCAGTAATGTCATCTTCAGTGAGGGAAGGAAGGCACGTGAATAGGATCAGTGTGACTCTGGGACTGTGGCTGTGTTCCCTCATGTTATTCATTCAACATGTAGAAAAACATATTTTCTGAGTTCTAGATCTACCAGGTGCAACATGGGATGATACAGGTACCCTGAGGGTGACAAAAATAAACGAAATGTCATCCCTCCCCTCTTGAGTCTCATATCTGAGCTCTCACTGTCTGAAGCTAGATATGTTCTGCAGTTTCTCCAGAGAAACAGAACCAAGAGGAGACTAGTGCGCATGCGTGTGTGTGTGTGTGCGTGTGTGTGTGTGTGGGAATTGGCTCACTTGATTAATTATGGAGACTAAGACATCCCATGAGCTGCCACCTGCAAGCAGGAGACCCAGGAGAGCTGGTGCTGTCACTCTGTGCGAGTCCAAAGGCCTGAGAACCAGCGAAGCCAATGGTGTAGATTCCAGTCCCAGGGCAGGAGATAAGAGATGTCCCAGCCCAGGTAGTGAGACTGGAAAAAGCAGGCAAATTCCCGTTTCCTCCACCTTTTGTTCTAGTTAGGCCCTCGACAGATTGGATGATGTCTGTCCACATGGTGGAGGGCAATCCACTGATTCAAATGCCAATCTCATCCAGGAACACCCAGAAGCAATGCTTAACCTGGGCACCCCGTAGTCCACCCAGGTTGACATGCAAAGTTAACCATCACAAGTACATATAAATGGTCCATTTTTACAGTGATGGTTTGTCAGCCAGTGGGTATTAGGAGTTGTGTGCGAAGCTCAGACTCAGGTGCTAATAAGAGATACAAAATGACAGAAGGGCTCCTGACCTGGAGAAGTTTCTATTTTAATAGAGAGAAAGTATAAACCATGTGGAAAAATACAGAATGCCCTATGCAGTGATGCCTCGATTTCTGGCATTGTGGAGGATTTATACCACTCCTCAAGAGGGGATGTTCTAGATAAATAAAATTTACACTGCCAACTGCCCAAACTTCATGTTGACCAATTTTTGATTACAGTCCTTCTAATGGGTTTTATAATTTCCTTGGTCTTTTAAACAGAAGTTATTAAATCTAATTTAACTTTTTCCTTGGAGCCTTCAAAATTTCCAGGGGGAAAGAAAGAATTTCTCACTCGGAGGAGCCAGAGTGGGCTCCATGAGAAAGCACAACTGAGTAACTTGAGGGTTGGGTGAACAGCTGAACCTAAAGAATCTTGAATAACATGTTGGCACCAGACTGGGGTGAGATTGCAGTTGAAAATATAAAAGGCACATTATCAGATTTGCAGATGGCTAAGTTGGATGTGCTAGCTGGCTAATGTATGGTGCTAATGTACGGTGGCAGAATGAGACATGTGGACAGGAAGAGACAATGGACTGAAACTGACAAAATGAAGTCTAATAAGGATAAATGCCAGCAGTTCATGCGAAAAAGACCCTTGGCTTTCAGCTAAGTACAGGCTCAGCATGAGTCACCATCAGTCCAACGTGGCTGCCAAATTCCGAGTGTTTACCATACGCCAGGCACTGTGGGAGGTCATTTACACACACTATATAACTCAATCCTCTGTGAAGGAGCTATTATTTTTATCTTCATTTTAAAGAGGAGGAAACTGAAGTTCAGAGGTTAAGTAACTTACTTACCCGAGATTATGCAGCTACTAAGTGGTGGAGCCAGGACTTGAATCCAAGATTGAACGATTCCAGAACTTGAGCTCTTAACCCCTAGGCAATGTGACCAAAATCCTCTGTTGAATTAATAAATTGTGGGCTAGGCACGGTGGTTCACGCCTGTAATCCTAGCACTTTGGGAGGCCGAGGCGGGGGGATCACCTGAGGTCAGGAGTTCGAGACCAGCCTGGCCAGCATGGTGAAAACCTGTCTCTACCAAAAATAAAATAAAATTAAAAATTAGCAGGGTGTGGTGGTACATGCCTGTAGTCCCAGCTACTCAGGAGGCTGAGGCAAGAGAATCTGTTGAACCCGGGAGGCGGAGGTTGCAGTGAACTGAGATCATACCACTGCACTCCAGCCTGGATGACAGAGTGAGACTCCATCTCAAAAAAAAATTTTTTTAATTTTAAAAATTAATAAATGA